CAGATGTAAAACATGCAAGCGTTTTTAGCACTGCAGTAGCTGATTACACTAACCTTTCGGTACTTAAATACCTTCAAGAACATGACCCAAATATCTCTCATTTTCCAGCAGCTGTGTAATTGTTCTGTGGTGAGCCCTGTTTTAGCAGTACTGGATAATACTACTGGAAAATTACCTTCACCTTTATAACTCAGTAGTTCTTTGAGCCAGGGTCTTTGCGCTTTCATATGCATGTAATTGCATCCATCTGCCGTAATGAGATCAAAGAACGTTTATTTTAACTGTTAATCCAAAATGAAGAAAATATTTGCACCAGTTTGTCACTTAACCAGCTCAAGATCGTTCTTTGATTCTGCTCCTGTTAGCCAAAGATTATATTTGGAGTTTGTGAAATGGATGGATTTTTAAATGGCTGTAATTGCATCACAGCCCCTTCAGCTTGAATACAAGTGCTGCTTTTAATTTTTTTTTTTTTTTGTTTAAAAACCAACATTGCTTCACAACTGACATATTAAGGAATGCCCTTTTCTTCTCCAAATTTGAGCCTGAATCTGCAGATGTTTCTAAGTAATCATTACGCAACTGAGTGGTCTCTGGTTAAGTAGTTGAAAAGATTATTAGAATGAGTAAAGTTAGGTAACAGAAGCATTTGCAACGTTACACTGATGTGCAATGTAGGAAAACAGCTTGTATTGATTCAGTCCTGTTCTAAGTCTAGAGGAAAATATTTTTGTTCAGACACATAATAAAAATCAGCATAGAAGGACTCCAGGGGACTCCATTCCTTCCTGTAGAATCCCAAATTAGGGAAATGTATACGGAGTGCGAGTCTGTCCTAAAAAACTCACCCATGTAAGGGTTCTAGAAAACAGAATTGTCTCACGGGTAGCTGTTAAGAATAACTTAATTTTCTGGTTACTGACAACCTCATTTCATCTTAGTCTCAACCGTGACACAAGCTAAACATCTGCCTTTGGGGGAAGACTCTTTTTTTTCTCTCTTCTTCCCCGTTTCTTCTATGGATGAAAATTAAAAATCCAGCAAACCTAATCACACAGTTTAGTGGAGACTCTCTACTTCTTGGACACCTTCTCTCATGCTAAGCAGGTTTGGGTATCACCAGCTATATTAGAGCTACTATTAAAAGCCTAACAGCTACTCTGTTTGCCTACGCTGTTACCAAAACTTCTCTTTTGAAGTGGCCTGAGTAGAAAAGCTGTTCACTCATCTACACTCTAATTCTGGCTAAACAAAAATACCAAAGATACCATAAAGTAACAGGACAACTGTTAAAGTGATTACAGTTTTGTGGCTTTCAGAAAGAAACCCCAAAGATTCAGAAGGGACTTTGGTTTCTTGACTTCAGCATAAAAGCTAGCAGGAACACAGAGACACAGACTTTGTGGAGACAAAAGACAGTTCTTCTTTCACTTGTCTGATTTGTTCTCTTTTGCAGTATGTACATTTGATGCTACCAGGCCTAAAAAAAACCCTTTCCTTTCTCAGAAATTATTTTATCAGGAGGAAAGGAAGAAATAAAATCCTATCTTCACAGCCTTCTGCAAAAAGCAGGGCAAATAACTGAATCTATGTACACCTTGTATAGAAATATATCATCATGGCTCTTAGCTTGCAAGATTGTAATCATCCTTGCAGACATTTAAGATGGAAGCACATGCTTCCATCCCTATCACGGATACTGGCAAGTGAACGTACATTCAGGATCAGGCACACTGTGACTTCCCTCCAGCTATAGCTATGGATCATTTGTGTTCTTACACAAAGGAAGGAATAAATTTAAACAGGCAGAAAGATGTCCTGGTGTCCGCTGGGGTAGAGTTAATTTTCTTCATAGAAGCTAGCATAGTGCTGTGTTTTGGATTTAGTACCAGAAGAATGTTGATAACACACTGATGTTTTTAGTTGTTGCTAAGGAGTGCTCAGACTACTCAAGGACTTTTTGAGCTTCTCCTGCTCGGCCAGGTGCATAACAAGCTGGGAGGGAGCACAGCTAGGACAGCTGACCCAAACTGACCAAAGAGCTATTCCATACCATAGAACGTCATGCTCGGGGGGAGTTAGTTGGTCAGAGAGGGGGAAGAGTGATTGCTGCTACCTACACTATGTTAGCTACTATGAAGAAAATTAACTCTATCACAGCTGAAACCAGGACAAAAGGTTATAATTGTACTAAGTAATAATGATTTCCAGAACAAATTTGGGAAGACTAATTCAAATCTTTGCAGAAGAAGAAAAGCTGGAAGGAGGTGGACAAGAAGCAGAAATATTCCAATTTAGAGTGATGCTTTTATTTTTGTATTCGACTCCTTTGATTGTCTGCCTTGTGCC